CTCCCAATCCCATCCACAGTGGTGGGTAGGGCCCGGGCCTGCCCTTTTCTCCAACTTTCCCTTCTCAGTGTACTCATCAGGAAGGGAGCAGCCTCTGGAGCTCAGCATGCCCTTTCAATCTTTACAATTTTATTTGCCCTATTTGTACACCTGTTGTTCTAATGAGTAACTCTCAGTACCACTAGTATGGCCCAAGCTTTATAAACTGTTTAGCAGTGATGCTTAAATGATCTCTACAGACATGTAATGGATTGCCGTTACTGCACAATTATTGTTCCCGCACTGTGGACCACTGAAATTCCCTGCCAACCAGCCAGCTGTACTTTCGAGTTATAGGTTCCTGGGAAGCAGATCCTATAAGGTACTGTCATGGGAACTCTGTGTCCCTCTGAAGTATTTACACTTCAATTTTCTTTCTTTTTTTTTATGAGATTTATTTATTTTTATTACAAAGTCAGATATACAGAGAGGAGGAGATAGAGAAGATCTTCCATCTGATGATTCACTCTCCAAGTGACGACAACGGTCAGTGCTATGCCGATCCGAAGCCAGGAGCCAGGAATTTCCTCCAGGTCTCCCACATGGGTGCAGGGTCCCAAGGCTTTGGGTCTGTCCTTGACTGCTTTCCCAGGCCACAAGCAGGGAGCTGGATGGGAAGTGGAGCTGGTGGGATTAGAACCGGCGCCCATATGGGATCCCGGCACATTCAAGGCAAGGATTTTGGCTGCTAGGCCATGCCGCTGGGCCCTACACTTCCATTTTCTTACCTCTTCCCTGTAGAAATTATATTAACAACAAGTAAGACTCTTGTTTTGCATAAAGGTAATAGTGAGGAGAAAAACTTTGCTCAAGCCAAAAGGCAAGGGTTTTCTAACAGTTCCAGAAAACATTCCTAGATCAAACTTTGCTATAAGAGAATAAGAAAAAGATTATTTTAGCCAGTTAAAGCCCATTGCTTTCCTCAGAGTCCAACTAGATTAATAATACATTCTGATGTGCTGCTGCTGCTTGCTCCAACATGTGGATTCCTGCTACCCATGTAAAAGACTTTGATCGACTTTTCAGAGTGCAGCATAGCTCCCCTCTGCCAGGGCTGCTGCAGGCATCCGAGGAAGTGAATCAGCAGATGGATGTTCTATCTCTCTGTCTCTCAAATAACTTGAAATAAATCAGAATACTGAATATTGTACCTGTGCAAATCACCAACTGATTTAATGGTACAAGTAACTTGTAATTAAGAACAGTTACCTTTATGATTTACTTCCCAAAAGTGATCAAAGAACAATATCACTATATAAAAACCACTTGGAACTAGATTAAATTTTCTTCATAACCTTCCTATTTATAATATTGCTGTAACAAAATGCTATGTATTTTATTTTGGGGATGCTCTTTTATTTATGCTTAGTTCTTAAAAGGTAAAACTTAAATATATAAAATTAAGTGTATAGCTTTGATAATGTTTAAGCATCCAAGTACTCACCACCCAGATCAATAGAGAACACTTCTATCTCGGAAAGATTTCCTCATACCCATTCCCAGTGAATCTCTCCCTTGCACAACAGGAATCATTGTTTTGATGGTTTATTTTTTTACCTATTTTTGACCCTCATAAAAATTTTTCTCAGATCATATCTAATCCATCACTGGCTTCTTATCCTCAGTATACTTTCTACAACATCCACATTGCTTCTAAAATCTAAAATTACATTCTGTGGAAATACATTTGGGGGCCCGACTTGATGTCTTGATGTTTCTCAGTGGCTAAATCCTTGCCCTGCAAGTGCTAAGATCCCATTTAGGTGCCAACTGGTTACGTAGCTGCTCCACTTCCAACCCAGCTCCCTGCCTGTGGCCTGGGAAAGCAGTGGAGGACGGCCCAAAGCCTTGGGACCCTGCACCTGTGTGGGAGACCTGAAGGAAGCTCCTGGTTACTGTCTTCTGCTTGGCTCGGCTCTGGCTGTTGTGGCCACTTGGGAATGAACCAGCAGATGGAAGATCTTTCTGTATCTCCTTCTCTCTGTGAATTTTCCTTTCGAATAAAAATAAGCAAATCTTTTTTTAAAAAAGACCAATGCTTTCCTCTGAGTCCAACTAGATCAATAATACATTCTAATGTGCTGCTGCTGCTGGCTCCAACACCTGGAGAAACAAGGATTGCTTCTAATGTTCAAAGTAAAGCTGCTGTGAAATAGATGCTTTTGATGAACATACGCAATCATTTCTATTGTGTATATATCAGGTCACACATAATGCATATCGGTACTTACTGCTAGTTTTTCAAAGCGCTGGATCAATTTATATTGTCACAATCAATGAGTAACAGTTCTCCACATTCTGTCAACTCTTGGAACTGTCATGTTAGCAAAAATTTAACGATCAGGTGGGTGTACAATATATCTTGTGATTTTAATTATCATTTACTTCCCTAATGAATGATAACACTTCCTCATATGTCTGATGGCAAGGATTTCTTCTCTTTTGTGAAGGAACTGTTAAAATAATTTGCTCATTTTAAATTGTTTTGCTTTGCATTTGGCAACCAGAAAAACTATGACATATCCTGGTAAAATTATCTGCCCAAAGTCTGAGTCACAAAGTCACATTAAACTTGTTCTACTTGGCTTTATTTCATGCTCTGTGGCAGCTGTTTCCTTTCATCCTGTCTTTAGTAAAAGAAGTTGGCACTGTGTTTGTAAAAGTAACTACTATGTCCAGCTGAAAATTTAAATGAAAAAAAAAATCACTCCTCAACATAGTTGAATGGTGAATGATATATTCTGAATTGCAAGTACTGTATATTGTGTCACTGCAGCACCTACTTATTAATGATACCTTTTTAAAGAGAAATTCTTAATTCCTATTAAGTCCAATTTTGTTTCTAAAGCTAGTATATTTTTTAAGGATTTATTTTTATTGGAAAGGCAGATACACACAGGGAATCTGCTGGTTTACTCCCTAAGCGGCCACAACAGCCAGAACTGAGCTGATCCAAAGCCAGGAGCTTCTTCCAGGTCTCCTACGTGGGTGCAGGGTCCCAAGGCTTTAGGTCGTCCTTAACTGCTTTCCCAGGACACAGGCAGGAAGCTGCATGGGAAGGGGAGGAGATGGGATACGAACTGGTGCCCATATGGGATCCTTGCATGAGCCACACGGTTACCGTGCTGGGCCCTAAAGCTACTGTTTCTTTCTTCTTTTTTTTTTTTTATGAACAACAATCCTTTTTCTTTTTTTAAAAAAGATTTATTTATCTTAGAAAGACAGATTTTACAGAGAAAAACAGAAAGATCTGCCATCCACTGGCTCACTCCCCAAACGGCTGCAATGGCTGGAGCTGAGAGTAAACCAAGTTGTATTTAACATTTTCTCATGAATGAAACAATGTGAAATTCACAAATTTACACTGGAGGTCTGACAGAGATAGACTGGCAATGATACACTTTCATCTAGATGAACACAACATAGGCTGTACCAGACTTCAAATGGTGAAATTAAAACAAAAGACCTCACTCACAAGAAACCAGCAACAAGATTCCAGTCGGTGATTCTTGTGTCTGTTGTTTGTTTTATTCACATGTCACCCAGCAAAATATTAATAGTAACAGATTATATATATATATATATATTATATATATATATATATATATATAGCAACTGCCTCTAATCATTCTACTTGTTATCTATGAAAACGTCAGGATTTTTTATAGGAGAAGGTTACTGAGTAGATTACTTTTTTGGCACGAAAAAAGTGATACACAGGGTCAACACTTTTGAAAAAAAAATTTAAACATCAGATGACAGAAGGTCTATTTCACAGTATCTGGCCAAAGTCTGAAATTCTTTTTGCTCCTTTTTTTTTGACCTTGCCTAAACAAATTATTTGTATCTAGATCATGACAATATTTCAACCAAAACTGTTGCACAGTACTTTAGGAGCATAGCTATTACTATTAGTGTATAGCATCATAAAAAACTATTATTACAACTAGCTGACAGCTGGGGAAACTGTGACATATCAAGGTGAACTAATTCAATGTAGGGGTCACTGGCACAAATGAATGTTTTCAAACCCTTTCATGCTCTCTGAAACGGTGATTTTATTTCATCCTGTCATTAGCAAAGTGAGCTGACAGCTTTTTCGTAAAAAATAACTTTCTAATCACAGTAGAAAAGCGAAATGAGAAAAAAACACAAAGAACCCACGCCACACTTCAGCACTGTTTCTGAGCCCAGATCCCTGGTTATCTGCTGCTAAGTAAACCTTTCCCCCTACTCCCAGTTCTTCAGCTGCTGATATTTCGCTTCCGACTGTGAACTACCCCCCCACGGCCACGATCGTTGGGCTATCTCTTCCCAACCAACAAGACATTTCCACTGTCCTCCCACGCAGAGTCGCTCTCTTCCCTGAGCAGGCTATCTCTTTCCGACATTCTGATTTTCTGATGATAGGAGCTGCCCGACACGTCCCCCGGCCGTCCTCACAGGCTCGCACAGAATCTGCCACTTGCTCCCGGACACCGACCGCGTCCTCCCCGGCTCCCAGCCCCGAACCCCGGCTCCCGCGCCCTCCTCCCCCGGCCCCCGAGCGTGGGCGGCTCGTGCTCACCTCGGCCCCCGACAGGAAGGGATGCGAGGGCCCCGTGATCGTCAGGTAATTGTCATTTCCTCCGGGAAACTGAAAACCAAAAGAAAAGCCGCGGGGATAAATCAGGGGAAGCAGGGACTGAGCTCGGAGCGACGACGGATTCTGATCCCCACCATTCTGACAACACTCCCCCAAACGCCGTTCTCTCTCCTCTCCCGCCAACAGCCTCTCCCGCCCGGCTTCTCGGACGGCCGACCACTCCCGCCAGCTCTTCGGGTTCCCAGAGTCCTACCTCCATCTTCACACAACTACTCCCAGCCGCTGAGTCCCCCTCTTTGCCCGCACCGCCCCCACTAGCCTCAGAGGGGCCGTCACTTCCGCAAGGAAGTGCGTCGCTCTGCGCGGATTGGAAGGAGCGTCGCGGGGCTGAGGCGGGTCTGGGCGCCGAGCGGACGGAAAAGGTAGATATCGCCCCCTGGAGCTTGGTGGGATAATGGCCTGTACAAGTGCTCCAGTCCGAGGACTCCTGGCCGAGTGCGGAGGTGTGGGGAGAGCAATAGAGACGCGATCTGGCTAGAGGGGCCAGAGACGGAAAAAAAAAAAAACACTAAAGAGCTCGGTAGACTGAGTGGCTAGAGAGGTCGGAGACAAGTGGATGTAGAAGTCGGGCGGACCCGGAACCCAGCGGAATCGGGACCATGACTTATGCTTATCTCTTCAAGTATATCATCATCGGGGACACAGGTAACCCGCGGGTGGGCCGCGGTCCCGGCTAGGGCGGCTCTCCCGCAGCTCCCGAGAAGGGCGACGGGGGCGGGGCTCGCCGAGTGGGCTGGGCGACCGGGACGAGCGGGCGGGGCGGGCCGGCCGGGGGCGGGGCCCGGGCTCCCTGCTCGCTTCCTGCCCGCTCCCTGCCCGCTCCCTGCCCGCTCCCTGCCCGCTCCCTGCCCGCTCCCTGCCCGCTCCCTGCCCGCTCCCTGCCCGCTCCCAGCCCGCTCCCTGCCCGCTCCCTGCCCGCTCCCTGCCCGCTCCCAGCTCGCTCCCTGCCCGCTCCCAGCTTGCTCCCTGCCCGCTCCCTGCCCGCTCCCTGCCCGCTCCCTGCCCGCTCCCAGCTCGCTCCCTGCCCGCTCCCAGCTCGCTCCCTGACGCTGCGGCTCCGGGAGGTGTCTCCTGGCGGCGTGACTGCCAGAATGCACAACTGCCCCTTCCAGGTGTGGGGAAGTCATGTCTCCTCCTGCAGTTTACGGACAAGCGGTTCCAGCCGGTCCACGACCTCACAATAGGTACGCGCACCAGCTCATAAAGCCTTGACTACCTAAACCGCCTCTCCCTCCGTGTCCGATCTCAAAGTTGTTTCTCACTACATTTGTCTAGTCCAAAGTTAGGTGTTGTGAAGAGTTTGATCAAATCCTGGTAAATGACGAAGCGTGTCGTGGAGACTAAGTCATCATAGGGGAACTTGGGACGCGTGGGACATGCGGACTAATTAGCTGTTTTTTGTTTTTTTCTGCTTTTCTTTTCAAATGCAATTTGTATGTTTTTGGGAAAAAATTCCAACGAAAGCCACACTACTGATTCAAAAACTCATCCATAGTTTGTGATAAATTAGTACCAATCTCACATGATGGATTTCAGAGTAAATTGAAGAGCCAACCCAGCGTAAGAATCAAAAGGCAGATGAGTGGCACCGTTGTTGCACAATCAGTTAAGCTGTCTGGCACCTGTAATGCTAAGCATCCTAAGGGTACCAGGTGGAGGCCCAGCTGTTCTATCTTTGACCAGAGAATGTCCTAAGTGCTTAGGCCCCTGCCACTCAACGTGGGAGATCCAGATGAATAGGCCCCTGGCTTCCACCAGACCAATTTCTGCAGTTGCAACCATTTGGGGAATGAATGGGTGGATGGAAGAGCTCGCTAAAAAAAAAAAAAAAAAAAAGCCTGAAATACAGATGAAACTGACAAATTTCATCTGTGATATTTGTGCAAGACGTGGCATGAGCTGGCCTGCAGGCTGTTTAATAGACCTTTCCCTCTAATCTCTGTAATCATAGCCTAAATTAAACTCTATTTGGTGAGTAAACTGTATGTCTACATATAGTTTTCTTGCCACACAAATGTAGTTTCTTTTTCTTTTTCTTTTTTTTTTTTTACTCTCTCTCTCTCTCTCCCTCTCTCTTCTTTCTTCTTAAGATGTGTTTATTTGGGCCCGGCACCCGTGGCCTAGTGGCTAAAGTCCTCACCTTGAACCCATAAGTCCTCACTGGGATCCCATATGTACGCCGGTTGTAATCCCACCTCCCATTCAGCTCCCTGCTTGTGGCCTGGGAAAGCAGTCGAGGACAGCCCAAAGCCTTGGGACTCTGCACCCGTGTGGGAGACCCGGAAGAGGCTCCTGGCTTCTGGCTTCAGATCAGCGTTGTGGTCACTTGGACAGTGAATCATCAGACGCAAGGTCTTTGTCTCTCCTCCTCCCTGTATGTCTGACTTTCCAATAAAAATGAAAAATAAATTTTTGAAAAAAGATGTATTTATTTAAAAGGTAGAGTTACAAAGAAAGAGAATCTTCCATCTGCCAATTCACTTCCCAAATGCCTGGCGTCAGGAACTTAATCTAGGTTTCTCTCCTGTGTGGCAAGAGCCCAGGTTACTTGGGCCATCCTCTACTGCTTTTTTAGCCACATTAACAGGGAGCTGGATTGGAAGTGGAACATCTGGGACTCAAGCTAATTCATGTAAGATGCTAGCATTATATTCAGCAGATTAGCACACTATACCACCGTACCAGTCCCAAAATGTATTTTCTACATAAAGTTGGTAGCTCCCATTCTTTTCTTTCTTTGTTTCCTTCTTTTGTCTTTCCTTCCTTTCTTTTTTTTTTAATATTTACCTATTTATTTGAAAAAGTTATAAAGACAAAAAGAGTCAGAAGGAAGAATCTTCCATCCATTGGTTCACTCTGCAGGTGGCTGCAACAGCTAGGGTTTCATCAGAGTCTTCTACATTTGTGATATGTGTCCGGACATATGGGCCATCTTTCATTGCTTTTCCAAAAGCATTAGCAGGGAGCTGGATCAGACGTGGAACAGCTGGGATGCAATCATTTCAAGCAGTGGCTTTATCTACTATGCCATAACATCAGGCCCTAGTAGCTCTCCATTCTTAACTGTATTACTACCTACGAGTCCCACTCAATTGGATATCTGAAGTATCAGTTCCTCTATGGATTTATTTAGAGCCAAAGAGTTGATAGAGTTAGACAAGGCTTTAGAGGATAGCATCAACCAGAGAAAAAAATGTAATGAATATTAAATGGACACTTACTCTGTAAGAGGAACTAATAACCATTTAGTAAGGCAGCTTTGTTCCTGCTCTTAAGTAGCTAAGAGTCTTTCAATGAAGGTGGAGTAGGGTTGGGGCAGATACTGTCAAATCATTAATTTCCTGTTGCAAAATGGGAGGAAAATCAGCCGCATCTCTGAGGCTAAACACTGAAGAATGAGGAGTTAACCAGCAAAGAGGAAAAACAATCTGGATGAGAGAGAGATGCTAGTGTGTGCCAAGGCTTGGGGACCACGTCTGATCCAGTGGAAGGTAATAAAAAAACATTAAAATTTTTTTGTGTGTATTTATTTTTATCTACTTGAAAGGCAGAGTGACAGAGAGAAAGAGCGAGCTTTCCATTTATTGGTTAATTCCCCAAATGCCTGCTACGTTGCATTCCAGGTAGAAGCCAGGAGCCTGGAATTCCGTCTAGATCTCCCATATGGGTTGCAGGGTTCAAGCACTTGAACTATCATCTCTTGCATTCAAAAATGAAATAGCAGGAAGCTGAATGGGAAGTGGGGACACAAACCAGCTTGAGGTGAAAGGCTGGTGACCACTGATGGCAGATGAACCAACTGTGTGACAACACAGACCCCAAGAAGCTTCCAGTTAGTTGGAGTAGTTAGGTAGCAGCTGTGGCTTTCTGGCATTGAGCGCGACCAAAGCCTGAGCCTCTTGTTCCATGTCACTGTTGCTCATTAGAATCTTTTTCTCTTGGTCTTCACTGACAGGTGTGGAGTTTGGAGCCCGTATGGTCAACATTGATGGGAAGCAAATCAAGCTACAAATATGGGATACGGTGAGCAAGGAATAATAATTTAGTTCCTGCTAAGGCCCAAATATAACAGTGAAAGCTGATGTAGGAGGAAGGGCTTTGAGGGTGGTTCTGCTACAGTTACACATTTTTAATGCCATATGTACATTTTTTTTTAAGATTTTTCTCCTTTCTTGGTTTCAGCTTTACCAGAGAAATCCATAATTAAGGATTCAGTATATGTGTGTGTGTGTGCACGCACTTTTAACTACTGATAGCGTCTAGATATATAAATAGAAGCATACAAATGTTTGCAGTGTATGCAAATGTAGCAAAGTATCCCTGTGTGACTTAGATTTTTTTTTTAACAATCTGTTTTGGAGACCTTTCTGTGTCAGTAATAAACAGTTCTGTCTCATTCCTTTAACCACTGCATAGTCATAGATTGTACCATAATTTATTCAACTGTCCTCTTAGTGATAGAAATTTGGGTTGTTGCAAGTATTGCAAATCTTCACTGAACATGATTATTTATTGCATCTTTTTGCAACTGGCTGAACATTTCTATGTATATGTGCCCAGAAATGGAAATTCTGGACCAAAGGCATGCATATTTTCAAGCTTGATAAATGTTGTATTGCCATTATTTAGCTTGGCTTAATGTAATTTTGTTTTTGTTGTTGTTTATTTATTTAAAAATTTATTCTGAACCCGGAAAGATAGCGTAGTGGTTAAAGTCCTCACCTTGCACATGCCAGGATCCCATATGGCCGTCGGTTCTAATCCCGGCGGCCCCCCCCTTCCTGTTCAACTCCCTGCTTGTGCCTGGGAAAGCAGGCAAGGACAGCCCAAGCCTTGGGACCCTGCACCCATGTGGGAGACCTGGAAGAGCTCCTGGCTCCTGGCTTAGGATTGGCTTGGCTTCAGCTGTTGTGGCCGCTTGGGGAGTAAACCATTAAATGGAAGATCTTCCTCTCTGTCTCTCCTCCTCTCTGTATATCTGCTTTTCCAACAAAAATAAATAAATCTTGGGCCTGGCAACGTGGCCTAATGGCTGGGGTCCTCTCCTTGAATGCGCCAGGATCCCATATGGGTGCCAGTCCTAATCCTGGCAGCTCCACTTCCCATCCTGCTCCCTGCTTGTGGCCTGGAAAAGCAGTCGAGGACGGCCCAATGCTTTGGGATCCTGTACCTGCTTTGGGATCCTGCACTCGTGTGGGAGACCTGGAGGAGGTTCTTGGCTCCTGGCTCTGCATCAACACAGCGCCGGCCGTTGCACTCACTTGGGGAGTGAATCATCGGACGGAGGGTCTTGCTCTCTCCTCCTCCTCCTCTCTATATATCTGACTTTGTAGTAAAAATAAATAAATGTTAAAAAAATAGAATAAATAAATAAATCTTTTAAAAAAATTTATTTACTTTACCTGGGAGGCAGAGTTAGAGAGCATTAGAGATCATTAATCTGCCAAATTCCTACCCAAAAAGTATCAATAGCCAGAGCAGAATAGTCCAGTAAAACCATTATACCTATAAATGGTGCACAGATTTTTTAATATTTGTTTTTATTGGAAAGGCAGATTTACAGAGAGAGAAGCAAAAACAGATCTTTCACCTGCTGGTTCACTCTCCAAGTGGCCACAACGGCTGGAGCTGAGCTAATCTAATGTCAAGAGCTAAGAGCTTCTTCCAGGTCTCCCATGCAGACATAGCGTTCCAAGGCTTTGGTCTGTCCTCTACTGCTTTTCTAGGTTACAAGCAGGGAGCTGGACGGGAAGTGGAGCAGTTTGGATATGAACTGGCACCCATATTGGATCCTGGCACTTGCAAGGCTATGATTTAGCCACTAAGCCATTACGTTGGGCCTGACAAATTTATTTTAGAGCTGGTACTTTGGAATTCTCTTTTTACATCCAAACTTTGATTTTGGATTATGTACAGTAGATATAATCACTTTATAATCCTGACACTGTGTGTGTCAAAAGATAGTCTTATTGTAATGTTCTCATTAGTATCATCAGCATAATATTATTTAAGAAACTTATATTATTGTAAACAGTAATGTGTTAGTATTAATAAACCATGCAATTGCCATTTTCTCTACAAATCTTATTTCTCCCTTCTGAAGAATGTAAATCATAGTCTTTTCAACTTTTGTATATGAGGATAAATTATTTTAAGAGTGTGAAGACTTTCCTTTAGCACCCGTCATATTATTGATAAAAGACACTTTTGCTATAGCATAGCAGGCTCATCTTTGGAATCCCACATGGGTGATGGTTCACGTCCCAGAAGCTATACTTCTGTTCCAGCTCCCTGCTAATGGCTTGGGAAAGCAGCAGAGGTTGGCCAAGGTTTGGGACCCCTGCATCCGCTTGGGAGACCCGGGAGAAGCTCCTGGCTGCCTAGTTCTGAGCTGGATGGCCAGTTGAGGAGTGAACCAGTTGATTAAAGATTCTCTGTCTGTCCCTTTCTTTTTCTCTCTGTAATGCTGATTTGAATAGAAGTATTTTTTTTAAAACAAAAGAAAGACATTTTGCTTCCTCTATAGAAAAAATTTATTCCATCAGGAAACTCAAATTCTTCCCTAGTGAATTGCTTTCATTAGTTACTGTAGTAAAGGTGATTATATTGATCTAGTTGGAACAGTTGAATTGTTTTAGGAAAACTCTGGTCTGGGATCTGGGCTTCTTTCCCTGTTCCTTATTTGTGCTTTGTCCAAGAGGATCCCAGCAAGGAGCATCTAGGTAATCCTGTTCCAGTCAACCTGTGCTCAGTTTAACTGCTTTGTGTCTAGTTTTTCTACAGTAATCTATTCCAGGATGTTTACAGTCAACAGGACATTGACTTTTAAGCTAATCTTCCCTTTTGCAGATAAAAGGACAGGAGCAGAAGTTAATGTGATTATTCAGTATTGTGTTTGGGACTAAAAATAGAACGTATTCCACATTTCCAATCCTGTTGCTGCTTGTTCTCTCTCAAGAAATGTTGGGAAGTGTCTGTGAAGGTCACCGGTATCACGCTAACTGGGGTCCAGCTAGCACTTAATGAATGAGACTTAGGGATACTAAACGTTGAACATTTTCGTGGTCAGTCTCATAGGAAGATAATTGATCTGGCCAAAATGTCAGTTGCACTGTCATTGGAAAAATACTAATTTCCAACCTGGTCTTCTCGGGCAGTTAAGTTGTTTCCTTTCCCAAGTTCTATTTTTAAAGAAGTTCTTTAGTGAAATGATTGGTGGTAGAGTAGCATTAAATGATAAAGTCAGTTTTCTGGAAATAATTTGATTTTGTTGGGATTTTTTTTTTATTGCCATGTTGATGAGAAAGGCTGGGCAAGAATCCTTCCGTTCTATCACCCGTTCCTACTACAGGGGAGCTGCGGGAGCCCTGCTGGTGTATGACATTACAAGGTGAGCAGGTGTGGTGTGTGGGAAGGAGACTTCCTTATGTTCTCTAAAGCTTTCTTTTTCTACCTCTTGAATCTCTTAAGGGTGCTAACTAGGGATTGTTTTCTTTATATATGTAGCTTTCCCCCCTCATCCCCCACACACTTGCAGTTGCTTGGGATTTTTGAAATAAGATTCTGATCTACTTTCTGAACTTTTCTGCTATAGGCGTGAAACCTTCAACCACCTGACTTCATGGTTAGAGGATGCCCGGCAACACTCTAGCTCCAACATGGTTATCATGCTGATTGGGAATAAAAGGTAAAATTTTGCCTCTCTGAATAATTGTTGGTGACAGTCAGTTAGGTACTATATGGGTGAACATTGAAGTTCTTGGTCTCTTGTCTTTCTCAGTTTATTCTACTATTAGTGAATGAGAGACAGACAGATCCTCCATCTGCTGGTTCACTCTGCAAGCAGTTGCGATGGCCAGAGTTGAGCTGATACAAAGCCAGGAGCCAGGCCTGGTGCAGTGGCCCAGTGGCTAAAGTTCTTGCCTTGCATGTGCTGGAATCTCATATGGGCACCAGTTCTAATCCCGGCAGTTCCACTTCCCATCCAGCTCCCTGCTTCTGGCCTGGTAGAGCAGTTGAGGATGGCCTAGGACCTTGGGATGCAAGATCTTCCTCTCTGTCTCTCCTCTCTGTATATCTGCCTTTCCAATAAAAATAATTAAAAAAAAAAATGTCAGGAGCCTCCTGTTGGTCTCCCATGTGGGTGTAGGGTCCCAAGGCTTTGAGCCATCCTCTACTGCCTTCTCAGGGTACAGGCAGGGAGCTGGATGGGAAATGGAGCAGCAGGGACATGAAGCAGCATCCACATGGGATTGTTGCATATGCAAGGTGAGGATTTAGCCACTAGGCTACTGTGCCAGGCCCTATATAATACATTTTGTTTGTTGGTTGGTTTTTACAGATTTATTTTTATTGGAAAGTCAGATATAGAGAAGAGAACAGATAGAGAGAAAGATCTTCCATCCATTGCTTCACTCCCCAAGTAGCCACAACAGCTGGAGCTGCGCTGATCCAAAGCCAGGACCCTGGAGCCTCTTCTGGGTCTCCCACGTGGCTGCAGGGTCCCAACGCCTTGGACCATCTTTGACTGCTTTCCCAGGCCATGAACAGAGCCGGATTGGAAGCAGGAGTACTGGAATTAGAGATGGTGCCCATATGGTATCCCAGCATGTTCAAAATGAGGACTTTAGCCTCTAGGCTAAAAGACAGAATTATAGAGAGGAGAGACAGAGATCTTCCATCCACTGACTCACTTCCAAATAGCCACAATGCTGTGGATTGACCAAGCCAAGGTAGGAGCTTCACTAAAGTCTCCTGCACAGGCTGGGGGGCGCAAACATTTGGACCATCTTTCACCAGTTTTCCAGGCACACTAGCAGGGAGCGATATGGGAAGTGGAGCAGCTGGGACTTGAAATGGCACCTATTTGGGATGCTCATATCACAAAAGTGACAACTCAGTATGCCATGATGCCCAGTCCTTTAAAAACTTTTATTTTTTTTTAAAAGATTTATTTTTATTATTATTTTTTCATTGGAAAGGCGGATATACAGAGAGGAGAGACAGAGAGGAAGATCTTCCGTCCAATGATTCACTCCCCAAGTGAGCGCAACAGGCCGATACTATGCCGATCTGAAGCCAGGAGCCTCTTCCGGGTCTCCCACGCGGGTGCAGGTTCCCAAAGCTTTGGGCCGTCCTCGACTGCTTTCCCAGGCCACAGTCAGGGAGCTGGAAGGGAAGCGGGGCTGCCGGGATTAGAACCGGCGCCCATATGGGATCCCGGGGGTGCAAGGCGAGGACCTTTAACCACTTGCGCCACCGCACCGGGCCCAAAAAACTTTTATTTTTTAAGGCTGGCATCATGACTTACTGGGCTATTCTGCCACCTGTGGCACCATTTGAGTGCCGTTTGAGGTCCTGATTGTTCCACTTATAGTCCAGCTCCCTGCTTGTGACCTGGGAAAGCAGTGTAGGATGGCACAAAGCCTTGGGACCCTGCAGCCAGGCGGGACACCAGGACACAGATCCCAGTTCATAATTTCAGCTTTACCCAGCCTGAGATGTTATAGCCATTGGGCAATGAACCCAGGGATGTGAACATCTCTCTGTGTCTGTAACTCTGCTTTTTTTTTTTTTCTCCTTCTCTCTTTTTTTCCCTTTTTTTCCTTTTTATTGATTTTAACTTGAAAGGCAGTCACATGGAGAGAAGGAAACAAAGAGCGCTTCCATCCACTGGTTCACTTCCCAAATGGCTGCAGTAGCTGAAACTGGCTGGTCTGATCCTAAGTCAGGAGCCAGCAGCTTCTTCCACATCTCCTGTAAGAGGGCAAGGACCCAAGGACTTAGGCCATCCTCTGCTACTTTCCCAGGTCATAAGCAGGGAGCTTGATTGCCCTTTAGGGAAACACAGTTGCAACAGAAATCCAATTGCAATTGCCCAGGTGATAAAGAATGGTAGCTTGATTAGGTTAGTGTCCTAGCAATGTGGGAAAGGATCATGTTAAAGTGCATTTTGGAAGTACTTTTTTTTTAGAATGAATTTGATCCTTGGAGCATGAAAGGAGGAGTTGTTATTAACACTTGTTGTTCGTTTGTTCTTAAATTGTGCATTTGATTGAAATGTATAAACTGGTTTAGATATAGGTTATGGGGAAAAGAAGCTTGAGGTCTCTTGTATGCATCATAGAAATGAAAACTAATCTAGAACTTAGAGGAGTATGTGAGCTAGAAGTATATATTTGGGAGTCTTGGCATTTATTTACTCTTATTTATTACTTATTTGGAAAAAGAAACAGAGCTCCATCTGCTGGTTCACCGGTTTCACATCCCACAATGGCTGGGACTGGACTAGGGCTTGAGTCAGGAGTTGGGAACAGTGCAGGTCTACCATGAGGCCATTGCTGCCACCTTCCTGTACTGACAACAGCAGAGGGTAGAGTCAGGAGCCAGAGCTTGATATCACACTCGGATATCAAGCTGCCTGCCCTAGGCTTGGTATTTAGATGAATAGTTTCCTCATCACACAACTGAAATCTGATAAATATAAATTTTGTAGGGTTGATGCTCTTTAGTGGACTTTATTTGTTTATTTATTAAAAGGCTGAAAACCTCCCAATTAAAAATTTTTAATATAGGGCCTGGCGCAGGGTCTGGCCTAGAGGATAAAGTCCTGCCTTGAACATGCCAGGAAGGGATTCCATGTGGGGGTGCTAGTTCTGGTCCCCATAGCCCAGCTTCCCATCCAGCTCCCTGCTTGTGGCCTGGGAAAGCAATTGAGGAACACTGCACCTGTGTGGGAGACCCAGAGGAAGCTCCTGGCTCCTGACTTCAGATCTGCTCAGCTCCAGCCATTGTGGTCACTTGGGGAGTGAGTCATCAGATGGAAGGTTTTCTTCTCTTCCTCTTCTCCTCTCTGTAAATCTGACTTTCCAATAAAATTAAATAATCTTTAAAAAAATTGTTTTTAATTCAAAAAATAAAAACCAGGGCCTGGCACAGTGGCTCAAAGGCTAAATTATTATCTTACACATGTCAGGATCCCCTCTTTCTAAGGATTTATTCCAGTAAGAAATGATATGCTTTCTAGCAATTGAAGTTTCCTTTTTTATTTTTCGTAGATTTATTTACTTTTATTGAAAATACAGAATTACAGATAGAGGAAGTTCTTCCATCTGCTGGTTCACTCCCCAAAGGTCCATAATGGCTGGAACTGAGCTAATCAGGATCTTCCTCTGGATCTTCCACATGAGTGAATGGTCCCAAGGTTTTGGTCCCAGGCCAGCTGAATCAGAAATGGAGCTGCTAGGACTCAAACCAGTACTCATGTGAGATGCTGGTGCTAGCAGGTGAAGGATTAGGCCCTTGAGCCCTAGCCCTAGCCCCTGAAGGTTCGTTTTCATCATTTCTGCTTTGCTAACCTGTAATTGGAAAAAGAAGCACAGGGTATAAACTTTGAGTAACTATGGGGCTTGCTTAGCCCTTGATGAGCCTTTTTCTCTAAATAGAGTAAGGTATTGTCTTTCGTCCCTGTAGTAATTGCCCTAATTCTGAAGAAGAATCTCCAGGAGGTCATAGAAATTGCTGAACCTCTACAAAGTACTATCTTGTGGGGTCTACATCTTCTCAGATCGCAGTTGAAAGCATTCTTTGGGAGATAGAGTTTCTTCTTTCATGGGGATTTGTTTGTTTTCTCCCCAATTACTCTCTTGCAGTGATCTAGAATCCCGAAGAGATGTTAAGAGAGAGGAAGGAGAGGCCTTTGCTCGGGAGCATGGTCTTATTTTCATGGAAACTTCAGCCAAAACAGCCTGCAATGTTGAAGAGGTAAAGCTCTTTAGAGATAGCACCACCTAACTTTGTCCTATTCAGAATTCTCTTCTCTGTAAAACCCGGGTGAAGAAAGAATGTCTGTGTTCATAGGGACTAAATGACTTCTTATAAGGGAATTAGCCTATTTTTTTTTTTTTTTTTTTTTTGGATTCAGGAGAGGAGCTTTCTCTGGTACTTACTTAGTTTCAACTTTGGCTCCCCATCCTCTCTATTTTTTTTTTTTTTTATTTTAATAAAATTTATTTTGACATTCTTTACATAGTTAGTTAGAGTAAGAAGGTTCAAGGGCTACAGGAAAGTGGATAATACTAGTATGTTTTCCATATTGTTACCTTCATGTTTAAAGGGGGGTATTAAGGGAGAAGGCCCACCCAATTTCCCACCCTCCTCAGGTCCGGATGTAGGCATGCTCCGAGGTTCTTGCTCAAGTGGTTTTGATATTGCCACAGTTATGAATCACTGTCAATCTTGCCACTCCAAGCACTATGAGGTCTTTGAAAAATCCACTGATTGACATAGTCCATCATAGCTGAGATGGTTGGTTGACCCGTTCTGTCTTCTGTCTTTTCTTGGTTAGGGTTCTGAGTCCAGCATTTAGATTAGGAAGATCTCCAAAGAAACTTCTTGTATGTGCTAACAAGTACAGGGCCTGGCACTGTCCATCGCTCCAATCATCTGGTGGTTGTAATTGCTGGGTTGGTTCTGTTTTCATTCCTGACTTCCACTGGAACCAATGGGTGTTGCAGTCCAGCCTGGTTCTGCCCCGCACATACTTGGCCCTCACATAAACAAGTGGGAGCTGCAGCCTAGTTGGAGCGACCCACAATAACCCCCACCAGGATCGCCCCCTACCCTGGTTTGCCAGTAAGTGTAGCAGTAATCCAGTCTGTCCCACACCCCATTCCACCCCAGCCGCTGTCTTAGTTTTATGTCCTCCCGTGGAAGTGGTAACCCAAGAGGGATGAGCCCACTATTTCCCTCCCAGGCCTCTCCCACTCCTAGATTCCAGCTGATGCTGTGTCTAAGCCCAAACAACCCTCGCCCACTTTAATTTTGTTTGCACCAGTAGGAGTAATCCGCCCAGCCTGGCTAATTAGCCTATTTTTTAACTTCAGTTCTTTAGAGGGACATTGATATGTGTAGTTAGCCATCACTATTACTTGAAAATCACTTAGTTGGAGGGTCTGATTAGCTCTGCTGTCATCTTTTATAAGCCCGGTGTTTATGTCTCTAGTAAGTGATAGAGAAGACAGTCTGTCACATTTGCAGAGGGTGCCAATGTAGGAATCCTAGACATATTTTGATTCAATATACATTATATCCCCTATGCCTTTGGGAAACTGTTTTCAATGGCTTTTGCAGGAACATCTAAGGGACAGATTGTATTGTTTACCCTTCTTAATGGTTTCTGATTCACCTTAAAAAATTTAGTTAAGGATGACATTTGTATTCTCTTCCCCTCACGAAATTTAAGGCTGACAATATCACTTATGTTTCCTTCAGGCCTTCATTAACACAGCCAAAGAAATATATAGGAAGATCCAGCAGGGTTTATTTGATGTTCACAATGAGGTGAGAAAGCATGGGGAGATTGGCAGTAATTGTGGTTTGTTAAGAACATGACTGGATGCTCTCTAGAATGTAAATATACCTATCTAACATCATAAGATGTACAGCTTTGCCAGTTATAGCTTTTACAAGATCATGTATGTATTGGTTTGCTTATTTGAAAGGCAGAGATCTCTTTGCTGGTTCACTCCTTTAAAATCCACTGAGCTAGGCTGAAGCTGGGAGCCCTCACATAAAGCAGTGGGAGCTACTTTGCCCAGCTTGTCCGACCCCCAGGTCTGAACCACATGTTCACCAGTGGGAGCTAAGACTCACCAGGGGTATTTCCCAAGTTCCTCCATTTGATCCTCTCCCAGACCCAGTTCTCACACATGCCATTGAGTTTTAGGCCAGGTCCCAGCGCAGTCTGACCTTCCATTTAGCCTTGTATGAGCTGGTGAACGTTGCAGCCCTGCCTACCCCACACCCTATTCAGGATGCACATTTGGGTGCTGCTGCCTTGGCCAGTCCAGACTGTTGTCGGTTCCTTTACCTGTGATTGATGGCAGGCCCCTTGGTCATACCTAGCTTAGTCCATCACCACCCCTTAAGCTAACCAGTGGATCTAGAATTATCACAGGGTTTGGCCCATACATCCCCCACAGAATATGGATATGGTTCTCAAGTGCTAGTTAATGTCATGGCCCTGCCTAATGTGATCCTTCTCCTGATCCATCATCATGTCAGGTAATAGGATGTGATCCTGCTAGTCAAGCCTCGAGCCTTAGCTTTTGCATGAACTGGTGTTTGGTGCTCAGCATTGTTAAGTGATTACAGGTTCTTCAAAGGAAGAATTACTGTCATTGGTAATCTTTAGGATTAATTCACATCAAAGAAGCACAATAGGTTCAACCTGGAGCTACCTAAGAAGCGATTGAAAGAACCAAATCCCCAGAGCTCCCTGGCTGGGCGGTCAGCAGACGGAACCTATTGCCAAATGGCACACTGGTCGCCCGGGTACAGCTCACCACGTGCATGTGGTAACTGGAGTCAGGGATCTGAGCATGGAGACACTCCTGCCTGAGACCCACCAGCAACCAACAGACTGCAGGAAGTTTAAACCCCCAGGCCCAAGGTTGCGCCCCCACCCCAATCCCATCCACCACTCAGTGAGGGTGGAGGATGGGCCCTGGGCCTGCTCAGCCCACGAGACTTCCCTCCTTGGTGTACTCACCCCGAAGGGAGCATCCCCTGGCACCCAGGCAGGCCTGGGTATAGCTCACCACATGTACATGGTGACTGGAGTCAGGGATCTGAGCATGGAGACACCCCCACTGAGATCCCAGAGATTAATAGTTAAACTATTGTAAGTTAGTTATTAGACTCTAGGGGAAGCTTTCTTCTCAAACCCAGTTTCTCACTATCCCACAGCATAAGGAAGGCATGGATCCTAATTGCTGAGGAAGGCAACTACTGTAAAACAAACTCTGGGACAAAGCAGAGTCATGTGCTAATGCACTGCTTCTGCTCTTTTGCCTTTTCTTCTGTTACCTTAAATGCATCCTCACTCTGCACAGAGCTATGAAAGGATAAGCAAAAGCTACTTCTAGCCAACTGTGACTCCTGTGCCACAGCTAGTCATCTTATCCTCTCTATTATAGATTATTACTCCATAACAACTAGGGGAAGGGCTAACATTGTGGCATTGGGAGTAAAGCCACTGCCTGCAATGCCTGTATTCCATATAACCACTGGTTCAAGACCCAGCTGCTTCATTTCTGATCCAGCTCCTTGCTAATATGCTTGGGAAAACAGCAGAAGAGGCCCAAGTACTTGGGCCCTGCACCCTTATGGGCGATCTGGAAGAAGCTTAGGCTCATGGATTTGGCTTGGCCTAGCCCTGGCCACTGCAGATCAAAGATCTCTGTTTTCCTCTCTCTCTGTAACTCAAATAAATATGTAAATCTTTAAATTTAAAAAAGAGAATTAGCGAAAACACCTAATTACTTGCCAATTAGAAAACATAATTAATGATTTTTTTTCCTTTCTCCTTCCCCTTCCTGCCATTCACTTTAGAACTGAGGTACTTCTTTTCTTTTGTAGGCTAATGGCATCAAGATTGGTCCCCAACAGTCAACTTCAACATCAGCAGGACCCAGCGTCTGCCCACGGAATCGTGACATAGCGGCCAACTCTGGCTGTTGCTGAACATCTGATCTGGACTTTTTTTTTTCTTTTTCCTGAAACAATTTCAGATCGATAGGCTTAAAGAAAGAGGTCTTATTCACTTTGACTGACAGCAGCCTCTTTTCAAAATGTGTGATATTTTGCCTTTCCACTTACAGACCAGGGGAGAATGTTGGCCCTTACCGACCTGTCCTTCTTCAGGGACGTGACCATTCCCTATAGATTAGGGCTCTTCTCAGCCTAATATTTTACTTTCCAAAATGTTAGGATCAAGTTGATTGTCATAGTAGTCCAAAAATAAATACTTTCATCACCATATACAACCTGCTCCCCCCATCAAGAATTATTAAGAGAAGGCCAAGGACATTGTGCTTGAACACAGGTGAACCCTGAGGCCTGGCCGGCCTTTGGATGATAGTTCACCTGCGTAGGAATTGAGTTTTTCTACTCCTTGCCTTGGCGGGAGTCTCCGTGCCACTTCATGAGTTCTTACAGAAAGGAGTTTCTTCCACTTGTTCAAGAGCACTGCACATGTCTACCATCCTATCACTGGTTTCTAGCTGTTAGAGTAACTGCACAACCTTCACGAGCAATGGAGTTGTCCTGGGACCTTTGGCCTCTCACCACTTCCAAAAAATAATCATTCCCAGTTCATTTTGTTTTAGGGACCAAATCCTAACGTTGCAGTGTTTCTTGCACCAAACTGACCCTTCCTATTGGATCACACTGTAGCTAGAACTACACTCTGTACTTTAATCAAGCTGATCTGCTTATTGAACATGACATGTTTATTGCTACTCCCATACCTTTGCACATGCCCTACACTCTAGTATATTATAAAAATCCAGAAAGTTTGCCTTTTAGGAAGCCTCCAGTGACCTAAGACCTAAATGGTTATTGACAAAGTATCCCTTAGCTTTCATGCCGGTTATCCATATGTATACTCATATGTATATTTATTTCTACATATGTTACTTTGTAAATATGCTTTGTGGCTGTTCTTCCTGTGGAATCTGCCTCCTCATGTAGGTTGTAAGCTCGGTGAGAGCAAGACTCCTGTCATCCCTTTATTTTTATACAGCATCCTCGCAAATGCCACCCATTCCTTTACCACGCTCAGTGCTACTCATTCTGTGATCATTAAATTGGACTGACATTTTAAAGCTTCAGGTTGATTTTGGACTTCAGAGGAAACAAAAGACCTTGGAGTCACTCTTTGTCATGTCTCTGTCTCTTCCATCTGCTTATCCTTGGATTCCTTGTTGCTCTTCTAACCCATCCTCTTCTACCCTTCTCTGCCTACATTCCACACAGCAAGACTGACTACTCCGGTACAATCAAATAAATGGATACTTCTCCAACCATTCTCTCCCTTCTCGGAGAATATAATGCTATCCTAGCCAGATTTGCCTTTGCCTGTCTCATCATTCTCTCTTCTGGGGCAGTTGCTTTGTCTTTTTTATTTGATGTTCAGTTCTCTTCCACAGCACTGAGGTCATAAAAGTTTTTAAATTTTTTTGTTTGTGTATTGCTTTATTATTAAATATATGCATGTGTACAAACTGTTCATATTTCATGTGTCTTTTTGACTGCATTCTCAACATTATCTAGATACTGTCCACCTAGGGATTAAAGTTATGGAAGAACTTTTCAAAGTATTTTAAGATTTATTTATTTTTATTGGAAAGTCAGATATATAGAGAGGAGGAGAAACAGAGAGGGAGGTCGTCTATCTGATGGTTCACTCCCCAAGCAGCTGTAATGGCTGGAGCTGAGCCAATCCAAGGCGAGGACTTTAGCTGCTACGCTATTGTGCCAGACCCTGTTTTTTTTTTTTTTTAAGATTTTTGTAAAAATTTATGTATTTTGGGCCTGGCACAGTAGCCTAGTGGCTGAGGTCCTCACTTTGCATGCACCAGGATTGCATATGGGTACTGGTTTGTATCCTGGCTACTCCACTTCCCATCCAGCTCTCTGCTTGTGGCCTGGGAAAGTAGTTGAGGACAGCCCAAAAACAAAGCCTTGGCACCCTGCACCCATATAGAAGACCCAGAAAAAGCACCTGACTCCTGGCCTCATATTGGTTTAGCTCCAGCTATTGTAGCCACTTGGGGAGTAAACCAGCAGACAAAAGGTCTTTCTGTCTTTTTTTCTCTGTAAATCTGTGGAATCCTAGAGGGAGAGGGAGAGGAGAGACAAATTTTTTTTTTTGAGAGAGAGAAATCTATTTGGTGGTTCATTCACTAGATGGCTGCAATGCCCAATTCTGGGCTGGTCTAAAGGCAGGATCTTTTGGGTCTCCCACGTGAATGGCAGGTCTCCCAAAGAATTGGTCCATCCTCAGCTCTTTCCCAAGTGTATTAGTAGGGAGCTGGCTCATAAGTGGAGCAGCTAGGAATTGAACCAGTACCTATATGGGATGCTGGTGCCATCGTTGGAGGCTTAACCTACTATGTTACAGCACTGGCCCAGGACTTTTTTTTTAAAGGGCAGAATGACAGTCTCTATGAGGGACAACAGAACAATAGAAGATGACCCCATTGTTTGAGCTCCTGCTATGCCTGTGGAAAATTCAAATGGTGTTCTGGACAGAGCATGTCTGTATGATGCTAATGAAAATACTCATAGAAAAATGAAATAACACATTTTTCCATGAAGTTTCCCAAGGCCATATTTACAAGCACACTGTTATGGATAGGCAATGACTAGCGGAGAATTTGACCAACAAATCTTTTGAAATGCATAGGGAATTCCGTGTGTTTGGCCAAGACTTAACCACCTTTCTGATAAAATAGACTGCTATAACTCCAGATGTTTCTGAGCTCCTAACCATGTTCTGATCAGGTAGTTACAATACTTCAGAAGTGCCTTAGGAACTCATCCGCTCAATTTAACAAACAATCCCATTTGTTTCAAGTTGTAATAGCAATGGAAATGGAGACCAGGAAGGACAAGAAACCCTTTCTCATTCAGTGCCAAGAGAATTTCACTCACAAGGAAATTATTTCCTTTCCCATTTTTTAATTTGTATTGGAAAGGTAGATATACAGAGAGGAGGGGAGACAGAGAGGAAGATCTTTGGTCCATTGAGTCACTCCCCAAATGACTGCAATGACCGGAGCTGCACCAATCCAAAGTCAGGAGACGGGAGCTCTTTTGAGTCTCCCACACGTGGGTGCAGGGTCCCAATGCTTTGGGCCATCCTCCACTGCTTTGCCAGGTCTTAAGCAGGGGGCTGGATGGGAAGCGGGACCCCTAGGATTAGACCCGGCACTCACATGGGATCCTGGCGTGCAAGGCGCGGACTTTAACTGCTATGCTATCGCGCAGGACCCTTCCTTTCCCAGTTTTAATTTTATTAGAAAATCACCCTCTGGAGCTGGAGCAATGGCTCAGCTAATTAATCCTCCGCTTGCCCTCAGTGGTCCTCAGTTCATGTCCTGTCTGCTCCACCTCTGATTCAGCTCCCTGCCTATGGCCTGGGAAAGCAGTGGAGGATGGACCAAAGCCTTGATACTCTGCACCCACATGGAGACCTAGAAGAGGCTCCTGACTTCTGATCAGCTCAACTCTGGCTGCTTCCGTCAGAGTAGTTAGGCTCTGTTGTTGATGAGTTTTGAACCTTTAAATAAATAAATAAATATCTTCCCTGAATCAGGGTCATTGGTATCACCAAGGTCAAAAGACTGGGAAATTTGCAAGCAAAGCAAATACGATGATTTATGTTGGTCATGGTCTGATAATCCTGGGAGAGTATGAATTCTCTAAGAAAAAAAAAATCATTCTAGAAACTGCTAACACCCGATCTTTGCCTCCTTGGTAAACACGCTTCTCTCCTCCACTTAGGTGGAGGCGGTCGCTGGCTGCCTTTGGCCGCGCACGGCATCCTTGCAGAGCTCCTCGTCGTGACTGCGGGCCATCTCGACCGCCCGAGCCTGTGGGGTTCGGAGCCCGGGCGAGGGACCGAACGCAGGACAGACCAGCATCGCGCCCTTGGAGCCCTTGGCCCCCTCCCCGCCCCGAAGGCAGCAGCCTGATCCAAGATGGCCTCCCCGAAACAGGCAAAGAAGTGTTGTTTTAGGTTAGAGCGCCCCCAACGGCTGGGGCCAAAAAAAAAAAAAAAAGACGCAGCGCGGCCTGGCCGCCTGTGAACCGTCAACGCCGAGCTGCCGCCAGACTTTATTTCCAATCAGGCAGATCCGTGGCTGCCTACGAACCCTCCTCAGCCTTTTAGGCCCGCCCACTCTCAAGAGACTTCCTGGATGGCGCTCACACTAGCTCGCTGGAAGAGGCGGGCCGAGGCGCTGCCATTGGCGGGCGGGAGCGCAGGGGGGTGGAGCTTCGGGAGAATGGACTACTAGCAAGCTAGGTTGAGGCGAGGGCTGGCCATGCTCCGCCGGAAGGCGCCTTGTTCTCCGAGAGGGTGAGTGGAGACGCTGAGTGGATAGGAGGCACCCGGACCTAGTTCAGGTAGGCTCCCCGCTCTCAGCCACCCCTCCGTGCTGCCTGCGGGAGTTTTTGCAGGAGCTGAGGTCCTTGCGATGACTTGGAGGGCTCATCCTCCTCCGCTCCCCGCCGCCCCTCCCCGTCCCCCCAGTTGTGAGGGATCAGGTGCTGGGTGATGCTCTGGACTGAACCATTCTCCTTTGTGAGAGGCTAGGGGTGAGGGCGGCTGCGGGGCCGCGGGGTGCGCGCCTGCCCGGCCGCGAGGGGGCTGCGTGGGCCACGGGGCAGTTTTTAGGGCTTGTCATTGCATTCCTGGGCGTGGTGCCGATCGCAGGCTACGCCTGGTGCGCCTTCCCCCGTAACGGGGAAGGGAAAACTCCCCGGCTCCATTTGGTTACTCCATACTCTGAACTCACAAGTGGGAGTTTAGGGTTCTTCCTTTCCTGCTTTATATATATTTTTCTTATCTCCCCTCCCCCCTTTTTTTCTTTCTTGTATTTTAATAATGAAGGTGGGTAGGACAGCCTGAGGTGAGCGCGTGGAGATGGTTATTCGTGCTTAGGTGTGATTTCTCTGGGTCTTGGGGGGTGGATGGTGAAGAGCAGGCTCTTGGAGAGTGTTTGGAGGTGGGGGTGGGCAGTGGAAGAAAGCAGCTGCAGGCTTGCATTTCCCTTGACAGGTCTGCAGATCGCTGGTGTGTGTGTGTGTGTTTTCTGTTGCATTATGTAAACTGCGCTGGTAGAGGACCCCTCCCCCTGCCTCCTAGCCAGTACAATTTCCGTATTTACCTGTCTGGTGTCGCAGGGAATTTCCCTGCCACTGCAGCAGCTGTGCAGAGGCAACGGATCCTGTCTCTTCAGGAGCAGCCCTGATGTGATTAGCGTCTTGTGAGCACAAGTAAAGTGACAGAGCAAAGTGAGGCCGATTGAGGACTCCATGCCCGCCCACAGGCCCCGGCTGCTGTATGAGCTGTGTTGGCTGCACCCGAACATCGCGTCAGCATGCACAGATCACTTCATGTCCATATTGTTCAGTTGTCCGAGTCTCCCTGGGTTATCCTTAGCAGTCGCTGAGGTGAGGACCCTTCTGGGAGGTAGATTTATGATAGGGATAACATTTTTTTCCGTTTAGGGATTTTCAGGGGTTACCCAGCCAGTAGATATTCAGAACCAACTGTGATCAACCTTGAAAGAAGTTATAGGAAAAACAACATTTGCTAAGAAATCCCTTGGTTGCCAAAATGGCAGGCCAATAGGTCTGCAAGACAAGGTGAAGGCCATAGGCTTAAGGAGAGGGTGGATGTGTGTGAAGAGATTGGGTTGCAGGGAGGTTTAAAACTAATAGCATAGGAGTAAGGAATGCAGGCTGGGATCCGAGGGGCAGTGTGTGAGGTAGTCAGTGTACGCCTTGGAGCACCGTGGGTCTAGCCTGTGTTTCTGGCCGTTTGATTTTGTCAGTTCTCAGAGTGACAACATGAATTTCGATTGGGATGGAAAAATAAGTTTACTTAACTGCGTGTGAATCACTAGAAAATGTGGATGCAGCAGGTGCTGGGAGAGCCTTCTCTGTAACATCACTGGGTGATGAGCTGGAGGAATTTGGGGGTCATAGTACTCACTACTGCAAAATTTCCATTGCAATGGGGAAAAATTGGCATTTTTCTACAAAGGATTCAGTTTCTGAAGGGTAATGGAAGATGGAGAAGAAAATCAAGGTTTAAAAAAAAGTATTGTAAATATTTTTATTTTTATTTAAGTATTTTTAAAGATTTATTTATTTTTATTGGAAAGGCAGATTTACAGAGAGGAGGAGAGACAAAGAAAAATGCCTTCCATCCATTGATTCACTCCACAAGTGGCTGCTCCAATCCGAAGCCCGGAATCAGAAGCCCCCTTTGGGTCTCCCACTTGGGTGCAGGGTTCCAAGGCTTTGGACCGTCCTCTACTGTTTTCCTAGG